AGGAGCTTCGGTCGGGATAAAAAGAAGATTACTGCAAGTGTTGAAAACTACTGACCATTAAATAGGACACTCAAATAAAACGATGACACATCAAAATCGGTACATCGGACCAGTGCACAGGTGATGTATTGCATTCGAATCCACGACAATAAAAAATTGCCGGTTGACTGTATTCACAAAATAAATCGACAATGAATATAACATTGCAAGATAATATTAAATAAGAAGCAGTATAAATGTTGTCAATAAAACAAAAATTACGGCTCCATTATTATACAGTGTACTCACCGAAAATATAATTAGCATCTATATGATTACCATGTGTGTATTGGATACGGAAATATTGATTACTACTTCTACTAATACACAACGAATTCGGAAAATAATTCAATGACTGTGAATATGCCCGAAACAGTGTTGGTCACTCGGAACAAACGTGTTGATGTGATCAGTCGAACTTACCTGCAGAAAGTTCCAGTCAGTACTTTTGTTTGAATTACAAGTAGAATCACGCGAATACAAGCAAAGAAGATAGTATCCAGAAACTCTACTACCCTGAAGCAAACGTTTTCATTCACAAACAACTGCCAACTCACGAGAATAAGACAGTGGAGTGGCTCAACCCCCTATCCATTCGACACTACCAAATATCTGAAAAAATTAATTAATTAACAAGATTTGCGAGCAAAGAAATCAATTGGTTCATATTAGCTCATGAGAAAGATATTAGATACTGGAAAGTCAACAAATGTAAATATGTGAAAGATCTAGTAATGAAGCGATCAGTATGCCAACCAGACAAATCAAGAGCAGCAAGGAAGAAGGAACAAACAACATTCCAGTGCGGGCGATGAAAGCAGACATGGCATCAACTCAAAAAATGTTCTACACACTCTTCAGAAAGATTTGCGATGAGGAACATTTACCAGAGAGTGAAGAGTACGATACACGATCAAAATACAAAAAGAAAGCGATCTCAGCAAGTGTGAGAACTACACAGGCATCAATACCAGGAAAAAGTTTTCAACAGGATGTTGCTAAAAAGATTTAAGGACTTTGTGGACGCCAAAATTCGAGATCAGCAGGCAGGATTACGTAAGGATCGATCGTGTACCGACCAAATTGCAACATAACGAATCATGTTAGAACAATCAATTGAGTGAAACTGACCACTCCATTTAAACTTTCATTGACGACGGAAAAAACTTGATAGTGTGGACAAGACAACACTATGTAGGATTTTTCGACTTTTAACATTGTAAGAAATCCATATGAGGGATTAAACTGAGGAACCGTGCATGCAAGACAGCTGGGACGCGTTCAGAGTGAAGACCGTCGTCGAACCAGTTCGCTTACTTTCAGCCTTTCTCATTCCACAGACAATCGACTGTATTATGAGGGCAGAAGTATCTGAAGAGAATCACGGGATAAATTGGACAAGCAGTATGCAGCTGCACGATTTGTAATTCACAGATGACCTAGCTCTCCTATCACACGCGCAACAACAAATGCAAGAATAATTGACAAGTGTGGAAGCAACCTCAGCAGGAGCAGCAGCTCTCGACATACACCAAGGAAAATGAAGATTCTCCGGTACATCAGGACATGCGCCCACCAAATCATTCTTGATGGAGATGCTTTGGATACGTAGACACCGGTACACATCTGGAGAGCATCATCGACAATCAAGGTGGATCGGATAGAAATGTGAGGACGCGGATTGGTAAAGCTAGAGCTGCATTTACACGAACCCGAAGCTACTATAAACTAACACCAAAATCAGAATTTTCAATACAAATGTCAAGACAGTTCTACTGTATGCAGCGGAAACTCGGAGAACTACAAAAGCCATCATCCAGAAGAATCAAGTTTTCAATAAATGTTGTCTACGCAAAATACCTCGGATTCTGTGGCAAGACATCATCAGCAACAACCTACTGTTGGAGAGAACAAACCAGATTCTGGCCGAAGATTAAAGCAGGAAGAAGCGCCGGGAAGAGATAGTGTACTCACCGCGGAAAGCAACGAACTGCGTCAAAGGCTCAACAATCACTCAAAACACTATAAGTAAAATGAAAGGAGGCAGGACAAGGAACACGTTACGCCGAGAAGAAGGGACAGAATTAAAAAAAAAAGCCATGACAGAAGTGATTTGAGAACATCTGTCGTCTGCTTATGCTCCATTTGAGTGAGAGACGCGAGTAATTAACAGTTATACTGAAAAGATAATTGATTTCATTGCTGTTCCTATATGCGTGTCTTGGATGTCTGCCTGAAGTATTCACGAAGCAAACGATAGAAGGCTTCTTCGACTTCCAGTGTGCGTGAAACAGCGGCAGTGCTTGGGAACCTATTTACATTCAGATAATTTTAATCACAACATTTGCATGACTACGTAGTAGAATAACGAGAATACTTGAAGACTCATAAGCAATGTCGACCAACAACCAAACAATGTTGTCTCATATCTTTCAATTTAATGTTTTCGGAAGAGTTTGTTTCGGAAACTGCACAGTCGTCAATAGACGTCCTGAACATAGATTGATCTAAGGAGATATTGTGTATTCATTTGAATATTTGTGAATTCAGATGTGAATGAAATTTCATCAGAAAAGCGAAAATAATCAGTGATACACATTCTGCAGAAACGTGTGCTTTAGGCATTCTGAAAGGTAATTATGAAATAAAAAAATTGCAATAGACAGAGGACAAATTCTTTTGTCTCACTGTGCATTTTGGCAATCAATACATTCAAATACATTGTCATACGTACAACAAACGTGGCACAAATTTTTATAGCTTGTTAATAAGTGAAATTGCACACAGTAAACAAAGAAGAGTTTTTTAGTTTTACAAAAAGTGAGTGAAATGGAATTGAAGGTGAATATCACGCCATCATATGAACTGATCATTTTGTTGAAAATTTACCAAGGATGTTTCTAGATAATAAGAAGCGCTACTATTATTAGTTTTGTATGATTATGAAAGAGATTATTTGATGGTTTCAATGGTACAGCATTTGTGATTTCAGTCTACTTGATAACGGTTCAAACGCTGTGTTATTAGTGAATTTTGTCGACTGTGAAGGCAACTCCTTCACTGTTAGCCTGAGGATACGAGCGAATTAGCTCGTTGAATGTTCAATATTTATAAAGGAGAATAAGAACTATTTACTTTAAGCGACTTGTGACTTGTATGCATTGGTAGTGGCACTGAAGTCGAAAACTTGATTAGATTTAATCATTAATTGAAAATGTCTCAAACACGTATATGAACACTTGAACAGAAATCCTATACGTCAGGTTTGAAATGCAATATCATAGGAGAAAATATAATTTGGGAAAGAAAATATGTTTGTGAGAGATACAAAAAGCGCTATATACTAAACTAAGTTTTCACACTCTGCACAATATTCATTCACATACGCATACATAAAGCCATGACAGTGTAAATCATTCTGTACATTGGTAGTTTGCTTTTTAGATCAGGTAGTGTCATATATTGTTTCATTACATTTTGTACTGTGCAGTCCTTTTTTTAGAGAATAAGGTAATCTACTATATGATGATGAGGTTGAACCATGCTGAATATTCACAGGTATGATGCAAATTTGTCCTGATATAATTGTTAACAAATAATACATTGTTAAGTAAGGCAGTTCATCTCTCACAGAAATCTGTTTTATGAATACCAAAGTTTCCCAATATTGTCGTGAATGAATACTTCGACATAGTTGACAATCAAATGAAAGCGGCTATGATTAAATTGTTTGACGTAACAAAACCTGAAAACAGTGTTCAAATGTCTTTTCAAACACAAATGCGAATAATTTTAGTGTGCGTTATAATCGTTGTAGACAGCCAATCATCGTTTATGATGTTGTTGAACGGTGATCGTTGAGTTTGCGAATAAAAGTTGAATACTTGCAGCTTAGCATTAATGTAGATATATCAGATGAATGAAGTGTAACCAGATACCAGTTTTGCATTTCTATAGATATAAGACCTCTCTTGCGACTTATTGAACTGATTCATCTTGTATGAAGAACAGCTCACAGTCATGTAAAGCTAAAACCGTTATCAGACAAATTTAGTCTATCTCGTCTTTACTCTTTGCTGTGATTGTCAACCTTGATTATGAATACATGAACATCTGAGTGAACCACGAAATAGGGTGAACAGCGCGGATGCCGCTCGCATGTTTGAACTTCACAGGAAACTCTGCCTATACATCCTACACACGATAGAGATCGCAAGAAAATACTGGCGATTTGTCAAGATTCGCTGCAGTAGTAGTCCTCTTTATACAAGATGGATATGGAAAGGTAGTAAAAATGAGGCACAACACGCATCAACCAAATAACTACCTTAATGGAAAATCTATAAAAGGTGAATAAACGTTGACATACTTTAGCACAAACATTGCTTAAGCATGTTGATATGTTGTCCGTGTGAAATCATGTATCGTTGAGGCCAAGGTAGCATTTTCGCTGTTGAAAAATATCTGGAGCTCCAAACAACCACGAACGAACAACCATACCGCAATTATTAATATGAGACTCAAGATCATTCCTATGTATAGATATTAAAGTTGTAGAATCATGAAAACCATTATCCATTAGATACTGTTGTTCAATAAAAGATATTGGAAATCTGTTGGCAAGACACTAGAAATTTAAAAGAACGTTCGAAATGTATTTCGATGTGAAAGTTAAGAAGAATAATATCTAGAAACTTTAAATTTACTTTTGGTTCAACCTGCAAGTCGACTTGAAGTCAACTTCAGTAAACACGATATTATTTCATGAGTAATGGTTACCCCCTTGAACTGATTCGTCTACAAACATACGTTCGATGTAACCAATAGGAGTCATTTTATATGCAATTTTCTGACGTTAAACAAATCAGTTTTATTTATGATTAATAAAACCTTAGTGACCAATCAGCAGTATTCGTTCATGGTATAAAAGCAGAAGAACCAGGTGAATATTCTCAGCGAAGATGTGCCACGTACCATTGTGTTATTTATGCGTGTTCCACCTGCTTATACAAGCATCTATACAATATAGTAAGATATGGATATATATTTATGTTTTATGTAAATAATCATGATGGTATCTTAACTAAGCACGTCACTAGGTAAAAATGAGAATATATAGCGATGTTTATTTTATTGGTTATCTGAGTGAAAGCAGTTTCATGCCAGTATTGCTATGAAATATAATCTCAATTTGAAAAGTGTAGTCAAATGGACCTATTCGTCATATGTATCAATCTATTCAAACACATATTTTATTAGATTGATAAACGTTTACCGTTTCTATACATATTATTTGTTTAACTAATATTTGTAACGCGTTCTCATTAGTTGTAGATCCTTCACAAGAACAGACATACAGTATCAATATATTTACGGGAGATAAAAAAAGTAAGTCATAATTTAGAAAGATTTTCGCTACAATTTACCTAAAAATTAAGGTACAACCAAATTATTTATTTGTTCTGTTGATCATGTTTGATTTTTACGGATAATTACCATTATATGTGATGTTTAAGTTTGACAAAAATTATATAATTAGATGTCGTGTGTCATATGCCTAAAACGTGTAACCACTACAAGTCACATAATGTAAAGTCAGAATATGTTTACATCGACCTGAACTGTATGAATAAAAATTTCACATCGCTCATGGAGGATGTGAGATCTAAGTTTGTTGATGATATTGCCTGTGATCAGCACTTGCTGATCGCAGAATGAAACTGAATCTAGAAAAGCACTGGACAACATGGCAGACATCAATTTTCTCTGCTCTTGTTTGGCTGACATCGATTGTTGCCCCCTTTTTCTTCCTTTCCTCAAATTTTTCAAGAGTACCAACAGAGATCCGTTCTTTGTGATGGTAGTTCTTGTCACTCAGAACCTCCTGACATGTTGAAGTGATTGTCTCATCGATCCCCTTCCAACTGTTCTCCAATGTTGCTTCCTGTCCATTGAGTAGATCTTGCAAGGCCTGTAACCTATTGTTGAGGAACAGGAAAGTGAAGAAGTGCATCAGAGCCGACAAACGGAAATATGTGGAGGATCATGCGACGAAGGCGAAAAAGATTGAAAGAGATGGAAACATAAGACAATTGTATGAAACAAGAAAGAAATTAGCTGGAAATTATCACAAACTGGAACAGACAATGGAAAGAACTGAAGGCAAAGTAATCAGCAACAGCGAAGTACAGAGAAATAGGTGGGTAGAGCACTTAAAGGAACTTTTGAATCGACCAGCTTCAAAGAACCCACCCGACATCAAAGCGGCACTTACGGATCTCCCAGTCTATGTTGTCGCACCTACAATTGAAAAGAGGACAGCATCGCCGTCTGACAAATCAAGAGCGGCACAGAGGCCACACCAGACAACATTCCAGTTGTGACAATGAAGACAGACAGATAGATACAACGCAGAATTTCGTACGTAAGCACATCGGTTTAGGTTGTCATGCCCCATCTGCGCAGAGACGCAGCTGTCAGTTCTAATCCAAGAGTGATAGCAATAAGAGAAGTATTAGCAATAATGGAGAAGATTAGGGAGATAAGTTATGATTCGAGAAGTAAAATTCAGTGAGATAAATTTAGAAGGAGAAAGGTAGAGATTATAAGTAATCCAGAAGCTTAGAATTTCATAGAACACAAAGAGTGGATGCACCTGCGCCATTACAAACGATTCTGAGCCATGTCGTTTAAGTTCTCCAACCACCGGTGACTATCGTCTCGCGGACCCCAACCACGTAGCCTACATCTACCTACATGACTCAGTCCACTTGTCACTGACTTCATGCATTTCTGCCATGTTATATTTTGGCCGCCTGAAGCTTTCTTCCAATATACTCCTACACCGCAAAACATAGCTCGTCGCGGCAGTCGGTGGTTAGCCATACGTAACCCAACCACATCAACTGATGAACTTTTACTACTTCATCAATTGATTTGTCATCCCTACCTAGAACTCGTTTCCTAACGACAGCATTGCTTATAAGGTTGTCTCATGATACACGGGCAATGCTTCGGAGACATCCATGATCGAAGACTAGTTACCTACTAAAGTCATCTATGAAATATCTATTCAAACAAACATTTTATTAGATTGATAAACGTTTACCGTTTCTATATATATTATTTGTTTAACTAATATTTGTAACGCGTTCTCATTAGTTGTAGATCCTTCACAAGAACAGACAGACGGTATCAATGTATTGATAGGTGATCAAAAAGGTAAGTCATAATTTAGAATGATTTTCGCTACAATTTACCTAAAAATTAAGGTACAACCAAATTATTTATTTGTTCTGTTGATCATGTTTGATTTTTACGGATAATTACCATTATATGTGATGTTTAAGTTTGACAAAAATTATATAATTAGATGTCGTGTGTCATATGCCTAAAACGTGTAACCACTACAAGTCACATAATGTAAAGTCAGAATATGTTTACATCGACCTGAACTGTATGAATAAAAATTTCACAAGGCTCATGCAGTGGCTTGACGTGCGCGCTCTTCGAATTTCACGTGTCCTCTCTGACTCTCTTCCATTTACGGGAAACAATCCACCTTTGGGATACTTTATCACCTCCGAAGCTATAAAAAGTTGTCTCCGTTCATTGGTTGACAATCTGAAAACATTTTCGGGCATACGGAACCATTCCAAGTCAGAACTATTGCGCCGTTGAGTCTAGCTACCTCATCTTGGTATTCACCTCCTAATCTACCTGGTATCATGTCAAGCAATAAGGTCACTAGTACACATTACACTATAACAACTTGGAAAACTTACAGAGGCATAAACCCCAGAGTCGATAGTGCATCAAAAATCCCAATATCGTGCGAACGGGTCGCTAAAAAACCCAAACAGTCAGTTGATAGTACTCCTGTCAGTGTCCATACTTTAGATCACTCAACGCAGACACCACAGAGGAAGCAAGACACCACACCTATTCCTAAAAAGTCCAGTATGGTAGTTAAGAATAGGAGAAAAAGATGTTCCAAGGCTCAGTCAACACAGTCCAACATCTAGAAACAGCATAAGGATGACTGTTTTGCCTGCTCTTTATCAGTCAAAATCAGCGACCATGCTTTCGAATGCAACTTCTGTAGTACATGGGTATATTGTCACTGCGACACTACAGTACCTAAAGTGTACTACGGATTCATGCTGAAGTGGTCTATACGCTTGACTACTTCACTCCCTATCACTAGTTCAGGTGCTGATGAAACCCAACCTTGAATCAACATTTTGCATTTCGAGGGGGAAAACGGCATCCCAAACATGCTTGCATTGTTGCTTAGGGTGGTCAGAAGACTCTGCATTTTGTCAGCGTCTTCACCAAGTAGGACTATGTCATCGGCTTATTCTAAGTCGATAAGTGAGCCTCCTGGTAGAAGCTCTACTCCCGAAAATTCAGACGAGGATAAGGGTATTTTTAAGGGCGTGTCTTTGATAAAATTAAACAAGAATGGAGAGAATGGACATCCCTGACGGACACCACTTGATGTAGAGAATTCCGGTGACAGTTCGCCAAAAGCCCTAACTCGACCAGTGGTGTTCGAGGAGAGAGCTTATATGAGGTTAATGTACTTCTTTGGTACACCTTTCAATGACAGACACTGACACAGAACCTCACGATCCACTGAGTAAAATGCAGCTTTTAAGTGCTGGAAAACAACTATTGTAGGACGTCTAAATGTGTGTCTGTGTTCCAGGACCTGTCGTGATGTGAAAATGTGGTCTATGCAACGACGTCCAGGTCGAAAACCAGAGTGGTTTTCTCTAGTCTGCTCTGCACGAGCTGTTGTTGGACGTCTAATTATTATGTAGGCTAACAGTTTAGAAACTATATCAGTTAGACTGATTCCTCTGTGATTGTCACAAGAAGACTTTTGTACTTTCTTATAAATTGGGACAATCAACTATTGAGACCACTCGGATGGGATTATGTTCATTTCCCAGATTCCACATAAGATCTCAGTCAACCTAACTGCTAAAACTGGACCACCATCCTGAAATATCTCAGGGTTCAGTCTATCAGGTCTCGCTTCTGGCCCTCACTTCAGACAACCTATCGCTTTCTCAACTTCATAATGAATGGAGGGACGTACGTCGATTCGCCATTCAGGATGACTGGAGATCGTGGGTAGCCGAAGTGTGGCTGAAGGCCAGTAGAACTGATCCCCAAAGTGTTTTGCCCATCAATCCAATCTCCTGGATAGAGAATAATTATTAGTCCCGTCCTTTTCTGAGTTAGTCTCACTTACAGTAGGATTGCTAATACCAGTTTCCTTGACAAGTCGGAAAAGTTGTCTACTGTTGGCTGTCGCCGCTGCCTTTACCTTCTCTCTTGTTTTCGCCACCCACCACTGTTCTCCCTCATTTCGTAGGCTTTTTATCAGCCTACGTCTAAGCTGGCTCCGCTCCACATAGCACTCAGAGCCAGGTGGGATGCGTTTTCAAGCATTCAGCAGTTTTGTAGATGCTATTAAGATCCACGGCTTCATCCTAGCCTTATGGTTTACCTTACTGGCAGATACCACTGCTGTTTCCACAGCTTTCTTGATATCATTCCAACCTACTTTCGGATGGGAATCGCTTACATGATTACCTCACTCTTTTTCTAGTTGTTCCTGAAACATATTCTCCGCCATATTATCACTGAGTAACACCATAAGAGGCTTTCTTACGGTGTATTTCCTACGCACAGTAAGCTTCAAACAGATACGCGCTCGCACGAGGGCATGATCTGAATCTAAACATGTGTTCTACGACGAGCAAAAGTCCTCTATCGAACCCCTCCATCGGTGGCTGATGGCGACGTGATCTAGTTGAGTCCAACGTTGAGACGACTTCGACAACTTTTACCTTATGCTTAAAGTGTCCCTATCTTTCCGAATCCTTACTGTCCCGTTCAGTCGGACGGCGCACAAACGACTATCTACAGGGATCCAGTCTAGGAGCGCTAATTCTGCTCAACGACTCAATATTATACCTACACCAGTGAGACCTCTGGAAGCAGCATCAGGGATACTGCATACACGAAGAGTAAATCGAGCTGCTTCTTTGTTTTGGCAAGGCGAAATCAGATTATTGTTTTTACTAGGATCTTGTATGCGCGTTTTCGAGACGCAGCATACATCGATGGCGCGAGATTCTAAAGTTATGGCTAACGAAGCCTGTTGCCCTATTTGACATAATGTACGTACATTAAATGTTTCGACATGTAGTCTAGAACGAGGTTTCAGGAGAGCAGAAATGACGTTCCGTGAACTCTCATTGTTTGCATTAGCTGTGCGATGTGTTTAAGGAATTTGTAAAGAGTTAGCCGTGGAGATAAGAGAGGTACTAGTGGGTGTGGGAAGGATTTGATTTTGACCAATTCCTTCTCGTGTGCTGGTATGGGAATGAGGGCGGTTGTCACTTCCCGGCTGCACACACCGTGGATGGTTGTTTCTTGAAAGACCTCAGTGAGACGGAAATCCGTGAGGCGGGTTGAGATGTGACATTTTTAGGGTCGAACTTTTCTACCCCTTAATTCCTTGTGAGAAGGCAGCATCGCTGCAGATGCTGCTTGTCTGGGAGAAACGCCTTACTGCTGTCACACCTCTCTGCAGTCAGTAGTACAACTTCGCCCTCAGATCTTGGTAGGTGCTTTTAGTCTCATCGTTTTCCGATTGACCTGCCTGTCATGATAGAACCTTGAGGAACATATTTTCCAGCCAGTATAGCTTGGCTGGGTCATCACGATAGTCAAGCCCGACCACCACATCAAAGTTGCAGCTTCGGTCAGCATGAAAAGAAGAATACTGTAAATGTATGAATGCAGATGTGGAAGCAATTAAAAAAATATTCCAAATTCTCTTCCACAAGATTTCAGATGAGGAACAAGTGCCATAAGACTGGTAAGAAGGATACTTCATTAAAATACCAGTGAAACATGTTCTCAGCGAGATTGAGGAGCATCACTCTTCTCTTAATACAAGGCAAAGTCTTCAACAGGGCATTGGTAAACAGAATGAAGGACTTTGTAGACGCCGAACTTCCAGATCAACAGGCTGGATTTCGTAAGGATAGATCCCGTACCGACCAAATCGCAAAATTACGGATCATTGTAGAACAATCAACTGAATGGAACTCACCACTCTACATCAACTTCATTAACTACAAGAAAGCATTTGATAGTGTGGATAGGCTAACACTATGGAGGCTTTTTCAAAACTACGGCGTGCCTGAGAAAATAGTCAACATCATACGGAATTCTTATGATGGATTCAGCTGTAAAATGGTGAACGGAGGTCAGCTGACAGACTCGTTCGAGGTGAAGACCGGTGTCAGGCAAGGTTGCTTACTTTCATTTTTCTCTATCACCTGATGACCAACTGGGATATGAAGCCGTCAAAATTACTGAGGGAAGCACGGTATCGAATGAACAGCCAGGATGCAGCTGGACGATCTGGACTTCTCAGATGAACTAGCTCTTCTATCGCACACGCAACAAAAAATACGAGGGAAGGCTATTAGTGTAGATTCAGCGTCTGCAGCAGTATTTCTCAGCATACATGAACGACAAAGCAAGATTCTACTATACAACACAACATGCGCCAACCGAATCATTGTTGGTGGAGATTCTTTGGTGGAACGTATACCTCTATATATCCTGATAGCAACATTGACAACCGAGGTGGATCAGATGCAGGTGTGAGTGCGCATATCAGCCAAGCAACGGGTTGCATTTCTACAATTGAAATATATCTGAAAATCAAAGCAAATATCAATCAACATCAAAATCATGATTATCACTACAAATGTCAAAACAGTTAAACTGTATGGATCGGAAACTTGGAGGACTACAAAAGCCATCATCCAGAAGATACAAATATTCATTAATATTTACCTGCGCAAAACATTACGGATTCATTGGTCAGACACGATCATCAACAATTTACTGTGGGAGAGAACAAACCAGATTCCGGTGAGGGAGGAAATCAGGAAGAAGCGGTGGTAGTGGATACGACACACGCAGCAAAAAGCACCCAACTGCGTCACAAGACAAGCACTCACATTGAATCCTTAAGGTCAGAGCAAAAGAGGAAGGCTAGGAAACATATTCCGGCGAGAAATACACAGAAAAGAGAAAAATGAGGGAAAACTGGAAGGTACTTAAAAGGAAGCCAGGAACAAGGTTACTTGAAGACAACAGGTTGGTGGGCGATTCTCCACTGTAGTAAGCAGGCGTGAAAAAGTATGTGGGCAAGTATTTAGGTAAGTATGTAAGTAAGAGAGTAGCAATATGTTGACAATACCATTTGAATATTAAATTCTCTATCGATCAAAGTAACAATGCATGGCAAGATTAATTAGTTTGATTTATACTCGCTAATCTGTGTTCACAATTGATGTTTAACAGACCTATAAAAATCACAATTTCATCATACCAGTACATGTTAATCAAATTTTGTCAGTTGATGTAAGAAATAATTTTTAGATGAATCAATCTGATATGACTGAGAGACGTGGAGATCTTATTATGATACTTTCGTTTGGTCTGTATATATGGAAGTCGAAATTATACTGAACCTTGTAAATGCTACGGAAACAGAGGTATTTCGAAAAATCGGTCGATCAGCCAACACAAATCATTGGTAATAGAATTATGCAAATAATATAGGTTACATGTAGAGTCGGTTAACGCGAAATAGTTAGTAATTATATCAGACATTTGATTTGTATTTACTTTCTGTGATAACATGAAATTTAACTAGTCATTATTTCAATGACTGAATTGTTATATTTATCATTTTATTACCATTCTAGAAGATATAAAAAAGTCCATTATTAACTCGAAAAATTCGGATTCAGGATTAGAAAACAGAATAGGTAAATTTCAGTTTTGGTAACATATTTATATTGGTTGTGAGTTATGAGCATGAACCGACAACAACATAGAACTTCTGATCAAGGACGTAGTGTGCGTTCTCATCATTGTAGATAGACAATCATCGTTTATGATGTTGTTGAACGGTGATCGTTGAGTTTGCGAATAAAAGTTGAATACTTGCAGCTTAGCATTAATGTAGATATATCAGATGAATGAAGTGTAACCAGATACCAGTTTTGCATTTCTATAGATATAAGACCTCTCTTGCGACTTATTGAACTGATTCATCTTGTATGAAGAACAGCTCACAGTCATGTAAAGCTAAAACCGTTATCAGACAAATTTAGTCTATCTCGTCTTTACTCTTTGCTGTGATTGTCAACCTTGATTATGAATACATGAACATCTGAGTGAACCACGAAATAGGGTGAACAGCGCGGATGCCGCTCGCATGTTTGAACTTCACAGGAAACTCTGCCTATACATCCTACACACGATAGAGATCGCAAGAAAATACTGGCGATTTGTCAAGATTCGCTGCAGTAGTAGTCCTCTTTATACAAGATGGATATGGAAAGGTAGTAAAAATGAGGCACAACACGCATCAACCAAATAACCACCTTAATGGAAAAGCTATAAAAGATGAATAAACGTTGACATACTTTAGCACAAACATTGCTTAAGCAGGTGGATATGTTGGCCGTGTGAAATCCTGTATCGTTGAGGCAAGGGTAGCATTTTTGCTGTTGAATAATCTGAAGCCGGTTAATATTTGAACACTCTCTGTGGTAGAATGAGAAACACGCTGTATAAATACCACAACTGCGTCCCAAGTGTAACCTTCACTAGCCAACCTCCGGATCAAAGCACAAGAGGTAGACCATCGAACACACTGCCCCGAAAATAGGAAAAAAGCATGAACAGAATGAACCATAATTAGGTAGAAATAAAATCAACAGACGTTCGAGACATATTGCTATGTAAATTTTAAGACTTTCGATTTATTTTTGGTTCAATCTGCAAGTCCGCTTAAAATCAACTTCAGTAAACACAACATTCTTTCCTAACAAACGGTTCTCTCATTGGATTGATTCCTCTGCAAAGATTCGTTCAGTGTAACCAATAAGTCATATTATATGCACCAATCATCAGTATTCATTCATGGTAGAAAAGCAGAAGAACCAGGTGAATATTCTCAGTGAAGATGTTCCACGTATTGGTGTGTTATTTATGCGAGTTGCTCTTGCTTATCCAAACATCAATGCAATATAGTAAGATGTAGATATTTAATATTATCAAGTAGCTCTCGAAGAGATATATAAATAGGAATTGGTTACATTGTTTGTTTTATCGTGTAGCTGGGTGGATGAAGTTTTATGCCAATATTGTTATGAAATAGAATCTCGGTTTAACAAGTGTAATTAAATGGATCTCTTCGTCAAATGTATCAATCTATTAAAAACACACATTTCAACTGACTGATTAACTTTTAATGATTCTATATATTTTTCGTATTTACCTAATAAACGAAACACGTTCTTGTACGTTTCAGATTTATTAAAACAAGACATACAAGAGATACGTATCATCAATTTATTGAAAGAAGATAACATAAGTAAGTTGTAATTTAGAATGATTTCTGCTATAGTTTACCAGAAAATTAAGACCCCACTTTTAATTATTTTCCATGTTAGTAATCATGATATTAATGTCAAGTATCTCTAGAAGAGATAATTAAATAGGAATTAGTAACATTGTTTGTTTTATCGTGTAGATGAGTAAATGCAAATTTATGCAACTGTTTCAACTGAATCCTTTTTGATTTAACAAGTGAAGCTAAATCGATCACTTCGTCAAATTTTACAATTTTTTCTAACATACATTTCAATGAATTGAAAAAATTTTATGGTTCCTATATATATATATATATATATATATATATATATATATTACTTATTTTCTGAATAATTGTATCGTGTTCTCATTAGTTGTAGATCCTTTAAAAGAACAGATACATAATATCAGTAAATTGCTAGATGCTAACAAAGGTGAGTTGTAATTTAGAATGATTTTAGCTACAAAGTACTAGAAATTTAAGTCATAACCTGATTACTGAGTGTTTAGTTGATCATGTTAAACATAACAAAACATGCGTAGACCCAATCTCTCTTGATAGAGATTCTTTTGAGGACGTTATACCTCAGCATATCTTGCCAGATTCATTGTTAACCAGAGTGGATCCGATGCAGATGTGAGGGCGCGGATTAGCAAAACAAGGGCTTCATTCTTACATTTGAAAAATATCTGGAAATCAGAACAACTTTCAACCAAAACCAAAATCAGGATTTTCAATACAAATGTCAAGACAGTTCTACTGTATGGAGCGGAAACATGGAGTAATACGAAAGGCATCATGCAGAAGATAAAAGTGTTTATGAACAGTTGTCTACGCAAAATATTTCGGATTCGTTGGCCAGACACCATCATCAACAATTTACTGTGGGAGAGAACAAACCAGATTCCAGTGTAGGAGGAAATTAGGAAGAAGCGGTGGGAGTGGATAGGACACACACTTCGAAAAGCACCTAACTGCGTCACGAGACAAGCCCTTACATCGAATCCTCAAGATCAGTGTAAAAGAGAAAGGCTAGGAAATATATTCAGAAGACAAACAGAGAATAACAAGAGAATAATGAATGAAAACTGGAGAGAACTAGAAACGGAAGCCGAGGACAGAGTTGGTTAGGGAAAACCGGTCGGCAAGCTTTGCTCCATCGGGAGTAACAGGCTTAAGTAAGTAAGTAGGAATAGGTTTACAGTACCAGGTAATTATTTATTCCCTGTCCACCAAATAAACAATCCATGTCAAGTATACATTCTTTGTTTTATACCCATTAACAACAGACGGTTATTGAGAAGAAAGTCAAATATTTTAACTGAACAGCAAATTGCCAGCTGCATGCTACATTGAACATTAGGCGTCATAATTCACTCAAGAGTTTATCACATTATAAGCAAACGTTGCATTAAAAATCAATAACAATAAATGATTATCATACTGAACATGAATGGAAATAATGAAAAATATAGAATCCCAGTTAAGTAGTCTGGAAACACTATCTAGCTAACATTTTTCTGAAGAAAATACGTTCTTCATCAATACATTGTGAACAGCAAATTTCATGTATTCGACGACACGACGAGTGTATCAATTTTATGTTTCGGCTTAGTTGCACTCAGCTTTTAAAGTTAGTCGTTTCGTCTTTTCACGCCTTTCTTATATATGAGAATAGATACTTTTAAAGACTTGTCACCACACTTTATGCAAAGCTCGTCTAAATGAAACGTGAATAAAAGCAGCATGCATTTAAGTATGCGAAATATGCAATTACTATAACAGACCTATAAAAATCATAATTTAATCATACCAGTCAGTACATGTTAATCAAATTTTGTCAGTTGATGTAAGAAATAATTTGTAGATTTTCAGACTTAGACATGAATCAATCTGATATGACTGAGAGACGTGGAGATCTTATTATGATACTTTCGTTTGGTCTGTATATACGAAAGTCGAAATTATACTGAACCTTGTAAATGCTATGGAAACATAGGTATTTCGCAAGATCGGTCGATCAGACAACACAAATCATTGGTAATAGAATTATGCAAATAATATAGGTTATATGTAGAGTCGGTTAACGCGAAATAGTTGGTAATTATATCAGACATTTGATTCGCATTCATTTTTATATGATAACATGAAATTCAACTAGTCATCCTTTTTTTATTGTAATTCTAGAGGATATATTAAAGTCCATTAATAACTCAAGAACTTCGGATTGGAGATTAGAAAACAGAATAGGTAAATTTCAGTTTTGGTAACATATTCATATTGTTTGTGAGTTATGAGTATGAACCGACAACTACATGGAACTGCTGATCAAAGACGTAGTATGCGTTCTTATCGTTGTAGATACACAGTCATCGTGTTATGATGTTGTTGAACGGTGATCACTGAGTTTGCGAATAATAGTTAATAATACTTACAGCTTAGCAATAATCTATTTTATTCAGACACGTTTTTTCATTTCAGTAGTGATAATATCAATTTTTATATGTTTACTTATAATGGAGATATTTCGTAATGACTCTTTCATGATTTGTTTAATCATAACACGATTTGGTTTCTCGCTTCAACGATTATGATTCCACGGGTTGATTACATTTGTTTGAGTTTGCTCAGAATTCAATATTCTGTTGCTATTTAGCTGAATCAAACTGGGTGGTACGGAAAAGCATTCATTTATTTTATGAAAATTCAAGCGCACTATTGACTTTCTATGTGTTGCTTAGAATGGGAAACTAATTCATCAAAGTGATCAATAATTTTCAATAAAATCCGGTAATCTACACCAAATCTTATCTAAACAGATTACAGATATGGACACAACATTTTTTCGGACAGGTGTCAGTCAGTACAGCTGTTATTAGGGACTATTTTCCAAAAAAAGGCTACCATAAAATCTTTTCATTTTGTTTATAGTAGAAATATATTGAAGTGTTCGTTTCTTTTCGAATGATGTCGATACGTTTACTTAACAAATGAATACAACGACTTTCTTGATAATTTTACTGTTTCTTGTTCTATTTAGAAAATTTCAAAAGAAAAATGAACATTTCACCTAAGCTAATTGATGACTGTATGTAAAATCATACTATACAATCTAAATAACATTTTTCTGATTGTAGATGTAAATTGTGTAGATCTTAATGTTAAACGACTTGGTCCAATGGCTGCTGTTAAGAGTAAGTCGATGCAGTGAAAAATATAATTTGAAATTTGACAGTTAACTTGAATATCGTTCATTTTCTATTCGATTTTTCGAAGCTTACTCACGCCTAATCTAAACCAATACGTACGAACATATTATACATCTGAAGCATCAACAATTTTATCCATAAACCATTCAATTGCGCCCTCCATTCAGCGCAACCTATTCGACAGATATCATGTGCTATTAAAGACCAATGTTCAGTGCTGCCAAAAACACAGAACACACATAACGTTGCAACTGTGCGTGGTGAACCTCTCGTTTAAGTTTCAATTATCAAGGCGGATGGGATAGAATGGCTGAGCTGCGTAATAGCGACCACATGCAGTACGAAAATTAAGTCTTGAATAGAATTTTAAACGTGATATATACTCTGTGATAAGCCATTCACTAATAATTACTTATCTTAGTTGAAAAATGAGGAAATGTGTAAAAATGAGAAGAACAATGAACTCCAAATGTAGCTACTTTCTCTTAATCAATACATCCTTGTATAATTGCACACGTACAAGTATAGTAGCGCAAAGTAGGACAGCTTAGTAATTAGTGGAAGTTCACACTGTGTACTTAACACAGTTTGTACGCCACACATCATATGAGTAGAGCAGAATTTATGGTAAAGATAACGCTATCAGATCAACTGATCACTTCATTAAAAAGTTCCCAAAACATTTTTTTCTTCAATATAAAACAAGCCAGAATGAGTATATTAGAAATTTTCATCCGTGACGTTAGTTACTAGATACTTTCAAAAGAAGGATATCTGTGATCCAAGTCTGTTCGTTAACATTTGAAAGGCTGTGTTATCAGTGACAATTTTCGAATGTGAAGAAAACTTCGTCACCGTTAGACTGATGATGCCGACATGTTAACTGTTCAAGTCTGCAATAAACATCCGACAAAAGGTTAACTCAATCCGTTCGAGCTATTATCAGGTGAATGCCTATCGAAAGACCGTAAGGCAATGAAAGATGGGGTATTGCGTCAGCAACTGTTTTTTTGAAATATCATGTATTACTCATCTATTATTATTAACATGCTTGAAACAATAAATTTCTCTACTTAACTCGTTTAGAATTGTTACTACAGATGTGATTCATCGATCATGTTATTCCGTTTAGAAAGTCCTGATATTTTTGCATAGAAATCAATACTAGACTGAGTCCGGTTGAAGTCAAGCTGTTTCTTGTTAATAATCCTCACTTTACATGATGAATGCGTTTTATATATTTTCTGAAACTATACGAATTGTAATACATTGACACATTTCATTTATGCTGGATGAATGATCTATTAATACTCTTTTATTTAAAAATGATAAATTGCTGTTTGTTTTTCCTTCCAAAATCTTAGGGTTGAAAAATGAAATAAATTCTCTGAGAACAAATTTCAGCAGTACGTTTTAATGGACGCACTTCTTAAATTCTTTAGGTTATAAACAGTAAATGTCTTATTCAGTTCATATTTGTAGTGTACCAATTTAAAAAAAAACGTGGAACACATTAGTTACTGTTGTTCATATAATTTTAGCGAAAGTAACATATTCATTTGAATGATTGACATTTTAAAATCACTTTGTTCTTATCATTCGAAATTCATTTCATTTGACCTTCGAATTCATTTACTTCATCTACGTGAAAAAAGGAACCATCATCAATTTAGAAAGATGGGATACTTGTCTTTCTAAACAATATGAGCAATATGAAAGTAAGAGCTGTTGACAAATTACTGACTGAAGTACTTTTTATTTTAGTCTTTCTGTGTCTTTTTGTAAATGAGATATATGGTCATCCGATTGACAAGTACAACTAATCAAAGACATCCGAATTACTCATTTCTCACAATGGCTCTATTATCTCTAGAGTAACTGGTTAAATGGTCGCAAGCAACCTGAATGAGCGATAGTAGGCAAATTGGAGTAAAAAGCAACGTCATATTTGAAGATGATAACTACACTCAACAATAATCATGTGTAAAAACAATAATCACTTAGGCTAATTAAAGTTCCATGATGTAATTTGCTTTAGAAATATCCGAGTTTTGTCAGTTTTGTTTTAAACGTGACACCTTGGTGGCCTTCATATCGCGCTATATATATATATTGCAATGGTTTTGAAATCGTGAAGATTGCTTTTAATCATAGCCTGTGATACATTCTGGTTCACTGGTATGCTGCACGTCATTATGTGTGATTAATCACGAATTAGATAATAGACGATCCTAATAAACTATGAACGCATATAATTTCTTGTTTATTCTATCTCTTACAAGAGTACACAAATTCACTGTCTCTTCTAACCTTTTAATTGTGCATACTATAATAAATCGTGTCAAGTAGACGATCTAACAGGCACAATATGCTTACTGATTTAATGGTTTCCGATAAAATACGAAATTTAATTCGAACCCTGATTTTTATTGAACTGAAAGAAAAAGTATTTGATTATTAGTCAAACTAATCAAAATCATTATATTTGATTTCCATAGGTAAACCAAAGTATGATTGCTCCACATATGAATCGCGAATACCACGTAATGTCTATCAGTTCATGTATTTCGATAAAAATTAAATATTCAATGTATAACGGCGGTACTAGTTTTGTTGGACACGAAAGGCTTTTTCAATTCAAAAGACTTCTAAAACACATCAATAGCACTGTAGACATACATACCTTCTCTTTGCAGAATCTGTGAAATGTTTTTAATTTTCAAGCGTTTTACATATTATCAGTTCAACCATCAATCATTTACAAATAAACAAACATCCCAAGATCTTGGGAATAATATGAAATTTGTTTAGCATCTTGACAATGTAATGGGTAACCTCGTATTTTATTACTTTGACGGTCAATAACAGTTCTAGTCTCAGAGATAAAAAAAACGAAAACATTCGCAACATGTTAAATTCCGTTTTTGTACACGTTAGTAGCATATTTGAATGAAATCAGAACATATCATGTGTGCATAATGTTCGGGTTTCTTATAAGTGTATCAAACTTTCATCTATTTCACTCAGGGATTTGATGTTTTTCTAACATTAATCAGTTCATGATCTTACTGAAATTCAACGATCTCTGCTTAACGTTATTCTTTAGATGCTAAGGTTTTATACAACGCGACTCTTTATCGAACAGTCCACTCTGTTGCATATAACTTTTACCTTGGTAAGTAACGTTTAAATGAATGGAATTCCAGTATTAGTAAACATTTAAATTATTAAATGTGACTGGTCACTGATTAAGAACAATGACCTTCACGTTACAGTGTAATGACGGATTCAATTACCTTCACCGATAATTATAAATTTCAAGAACGTCTGCTGAAATTTATTTTTGCAGTTTGCTTCGATAAACGACAATTTATTCTGTTCAACTTATTTGTAGTTGTGCGCCTTTTCCGAAATGATATTAAAAATCAACTTCTCAAAGACGTAAGCTATAAATCAGATTGACATTTTTCCAAAAACTATTCTCATTTAAATTAACAGTGATGAAACGAATGATAACATAATCAATGTTAGCTTAGTGGATTGAAACATACAACATATAAGATACATATATTTCATTTGTAAGGAAATTAGGGGGAATGTTGATGATTGTAAACAATTTGCATCAATTATTCATTTCATTGTTCGATAATTTTGTTTGTATTTTTAAAGGTGGTGCTTAGTCGAAATGATTATATACTTCCTTATAACTGATTATAAAGAATTGTTTAATTGTTTGATTAAATATATTGTAACAGTAAATTTTCTGTAATGTTAACGAATAATTCATAATTCATTCCTAATATAATAAACATTTTATTGGTACATATCCTTCTCTACTACTATTGAAGACATAAACACTTCATTCATCTATGCAGCATGTTTCAGCTACCTATACATGAGTTAAGAAAATCAGTTCTCCTTATTAGTTCTCAACATTGCAACTAACTGATCTCCGGTCTAGTAATGTGACGGCCGCTAGTATCCAGAAACCCTACTGCCCTGAAACAAACGCTTCAATCAAATCCCGACACATACAAACTCACAACCAACTGCCAACTGACTAGAATTAGACAGTCGAGTGGCTAGACCTCCATCCATTGGACATAACTGAACACCTGAAACCGTACCGAAAGAACAAGAATCGAGCGCGAAGAAATCAAATTGGTTTACACTAGCTCATGAAAAAGATATTGGATATTGGATTGGATATTTGGAACATTCGAATGATTTATAAAGAAATTTTGTATATATTATTACATACACTGGTAATTTCATGAATGAAATAAGAGTTTTAATAGCGAAACGAGTTAGCAAAATTTCGCATACTTCCGTCAATAATCTCAGCCTATACACTTATTGTACATTTGTGATTCCAAACAACTCATACCACTGTCTTATCAATATCTACAGAAAACACTGTCTGTAGCACGACAATGAGGTACAGACCTAATGAATACGAAGCACAATGTATAAAAAAGGACGTAAGCGTAACACATTTAGTGATGGAGTCGCTAGCATCATTTTCAGGCACGATATTCAATGTCAAGCGGAAAATTTAGACTTATCCATATCTTAAGCTTCAATTATCTAAAACATCATTCCTCACTGATCTTGAGGAATTGCTAAAAATTATCTAAAGTTAGTAAATTTTCAAACAGAATGTTATTCAGAAACAGTGTGATTATTTGCAATGAACTTGAAAGGTCTTACCTTAACTTGTTAGGCATCTAACGATAAGAACCGTTAATTTCTTAGATTAGTTATGCAAGTGCATTTGTCTTTTTGCAAATAGATAAAAGATCTCCCCTATACTATCTCATATTCATCTATTTCACATTTAGTTTCCACAAAGCTGAGAAAATCAAAACGGTCTATTAATGGAGTCACGAAGTTATAGGTTCTAGTATTGTCTTAGATAAAAACTACAAATTTAATACATATGAAGAGAAGTACTTCATTCACTAGTGTTGAAAGAACTTTTATCGGTATTATTTACTCTTCGTTGTAACGTACAATCATTGCTTAATCCTAATTACAACCGATATACCTTATGTGGATATCATGCCTGAATTTAAGATAAAAATGGAACTACAGCAAACTTATAAGGAATATTAAGTCAACTATAGAAACTATCACTTTGTATACGATATGAACTCACAGTCGTACTACACATGATCTTCAGAATATCATAATATTCCTCCTCACTTCAACATTTGGCCATAGAGTATGAACCTTATAAAAACCAACCTAAAAGAGTGTCAAACTAACATGAACATAAAAGTTAATCCCATCCGTATAATAATGCTTTTGGTATTTAGAAGTTCCTGATACTTCTTGAACTGTAGCTAACGCGAGCCATAGTACAATCACCTTTCTGAAGAAAACTATGATTTAGCTACAACAAATGTATATGAAGCTGGTATACACATCATGGGTTCAATTTAAAATTCTATCCCTTACACTTACCGCTCTTTTACAGTGGTTTCAATTAATAGGACCCTGCAAAAATTAATTAAAAGTTTTGGCTTCCGGCCTTCGTGCTCTTAGTTTACTTTTGGACCTTTTATGTCACTGTGTTGCTGTACAGTGTGTTTAAGATCACGTGAGTAGTATGATGTTGATCATTATTGTTAAGTATGTCTCTCTTGACGTTATTTCGTTCCTTGGTCCACCTCTTTCCTTTTGGCCTAGAAGATTAAAGCAGCCTCTAGAATTGCGTATGATTTTAGGTATCTTCTCAGGTTCACCATATTGTCGAAGGAGCATCCATATTATTGTCCTATCCATGGTATCAAATGCTTCTCTGTGGTAAGAGAAGTTCATGTAGGGTGGTGAAACCCTTTTGAGCTGATTGTTTCACAACGATACGTGATACCGCGTAAAACTTGATCAGTACCCGAAATATTCTTACAGAATTTAGCCTGCTGATCTCAAACGTGTGCTTTATTCTATATGACAACATACTGTTGAAGAATCAGCTCGAAATTTAGGGTTGAGTAATGCGTCCGCAGTTTTAACATTAGCTAGGATCTCCTTAATTCGGTTGATTTCACGAGGCTGTTCATAAATATTCTTGACCCAGAAGGTCACTTCGGAGAATTTCGAGTACTTCTGCACATACTGCATCCTCTGCTTTCAGTTATAATGCCCGGTCCCACTGTTCACTGATTTTCATGTCTGATGATTATGTTGATCTTGTAAACTGATGTTGGCCCGAAATCGATTGGCGGTTCGTGTGTGCTGGTTGAATGGGCTGTTGGACTAGAAGTTTCCTCAAAGTGCTCTGGTCACCTAATTGGACGTCTTTTTATATCGGTTATTATTTGCCCTTATTTATTTCCACTAGTCATCGTGATTTACGACAACTGAAATCGGACTTTGAAGTGATTTCATATTTGCGAAAAAAAGGAAAATGGTTTAATAGAAACATTTACTGTTATAACCAATTGTACCAGTGAAGATTTTACTAAACCTTTTTGTTTATTGGTACTTTTTACCATGCTTTGCTTTATCTGGAGCTCTGCCCTAATTTTATTGCTTTGTACCTTCGGCCTATTTTCTGTAGCACGATTTCAGTATTCTATCGACACCGCAAAATCGCCAACAAACGTATTCATTCAACTGGACAGTCCTATCGTTTCACGGGATAATGTGTTAAAGCCAGAACAGAATTGTTCGGTAAATTTGTTCATTGTCATCTTTGACTAGATCGTCAACAGCTTTTATATTGTCTCATACGATTGTCTCACTTTTCCTTCTCTTATAAACTTTTTCACTCTCACTGGCTGATCTTTTATATGATTAGGTTTGTCAGTTGACACTTTACTACTGTGTATTCAGCTTGAGACCATACGTCTGATTATCTCAACAAATCTTTGGAAGCGAGCGGCGAAATCAACACGAGGTGTATATGCCAGAACATCTGAGCATCATTATTCATGTGTCCATGGGAAAGAATTATGTGCAAAGTTTCCTAAAGTCAATCTGCTCTGTCCCATTCAAGGTGATATGAAAAGATTATAACATTACAACTTTTCATGTGACTAGAAAAACGGGTGTCACTGGCATTGAATTTCGAATAACTTATTTAAAAAAAGCCATTGACAAAACAACAACTTACGTGTATCATAGGTTTTTATTATTTTCTGGTTTGTATACGCTCGTACGACTCCCAAATTCGAGGGTCATGTTTACCGGCTGGCTTGGTGATGTTGAATGTCTTGAGTTTTCATTATTAGCGTTTTTGCGAATAAAATCCCGGGTATTAAGGATAGGGTGTGAGGTGAATAATGTTCTACTTCCATATTCACTAATAACTCTACGGTTCGGTGATTGCACAATGTACCTGGCTCTTGGATAATTATCATTTGCATGCATGATCGGATGCTGGTCTGAAATATCCTTGATATTATCAGTCTTAAGACATAGAGAGCCTAGGGGCATATCGCACGGCATTAAAGGGGTGAACCTGTTCATCGTTGCAGGGAAAGTCGCAGGCGAGCGGGTTTGAATCCTACCTATTTTTTTATCTGAGACTGCTCACTCTTCTAAGTTAAAGATGGAGAATGTTTTGGTTCCCTGGACGTGTTTTCTCGTAAAATTCAGTTTCTTTCGGATACTCTCGTGAAATATATTTTGCGGATCTGGTCTCAAATTGATTAATTTTAGATGGGATTGTGTTGTTTTTGGGACACATTCAATCACTTTAACGGTCGAACAGCCAGGATTAGGAGTGAAGGTGACGTTATATTTCTTCATGACAGACAGTATCCGTACTTTGCTAGAAGATTTAGAGTGCACTTGCTCACGAAGATCTACAGCGTGGTTTATCTAATCAGTAATATTTATGACATTTAGGGTTGTTACTAGTTGATTGTCTGCTGCGACACACTCATACAATCTTGTCACCTCTCCTTTATTTATATGTAGTTGTCAAGGCCTTGGATCTTTGTACAAGGTTCATGGGCAAATATTTTTGCTCAAATGCATAAACTGTTCGGCATCTTTACAGCAGCCAAACATTAACAAAGATGGGCAGGTCGATGTATCACTGTTTCTTTTCAGGCGCGTGACTTGACGAATGACGTTTGCCATGCCACACGCTCCTAGACAGGTATTCCTTAGCGAAGTCAATGATGTGCAATGGCACACTTTTACGAAGATAACAGAATTGCTGAAATGGAAACATTTATTATGGTACTTAATTCTGACAGTAATTGTTATATTGTACACCTCATGTTTATCTGTACTAAAGACTATCTCTCGTGCGCTAAGCGTGTCACTCCCATTCCGCTTCTCTCCTCGTCGGTTGTTAGCGGCTTCTTGATTATGGTCTTCATATTATTTCAATATCACGAGGCCAGCGATAAATATACTTCTTCGTTCAGTACAGTCTAATTTCTGACTTCAGGATTTACCGGGATATACTTTGGTGACTTTAACTAAGGTGTAATACACATCGT